AAATGTATGGCCAAGAAAAGTTGAACCAATAATCCTACACGCTTTTCTTCATTTGAAAAACTCATATTTACAATTTTTGGATATTTTAATTTATAAAGTTTGGATGTGACAGTTTGACATTTCTGAAAGCAAAGACGATTGAACTTGTTTCCATGGCTAACTAAATGAAATTGTTTAAAAATTATAAGAATTCGCTATAACTTAGTAATTTTTGCAAAAAAAACATATTATAGCTTATCTATATCGCTGAAAAGCTTAAAAAATTGCGTTTTTTATGAAGTCATGGCTAACTATGGTTTCCATTTAAAAAAAACATGAGTTTGTATCATATGTCAAAAATTACAGGCTTTAGAAAAAAGCGGAGAACACAATCTCATTAAGCCTACAACTTTTATCTGAAATTTTTTTGTCTAAAATGTATTATAATGGAATTAGGGACCATTTTTAAAATAGCCAAAATTTGTTTTTTTTTCGAAATATCTAGTAAGACATGAACTTTTTCAAAAATCTAAAAGGCGCATATTTATGACCCCATAAAACTGCAATTCTTTCCCCAACCTAACCTAACCTAACCGACTCTCTATCTCCAGTAGTTTCTGAGATACCCATAGAGAACATCGTAGGAAACTCACCCTGTATAGTTAGTTTATTATAGTTTATCATAGTCACGTCGCAACCTTTTCTATAGTCAATTTTCTCAATACTTACGTAGCTACACAATGAGCTGCGGTTATGATCCACCTTTCGTTGAGCAGTGCTCCACCACATGCCAATTTTTTTGACAAAAATCCTGTTTTTATCAATGCGACTTGCCAAGGATGGGATCCGAAACCTGTAGAATGTCCACCGACTATCCTATTGGATCTTGTGTGTAATTCTCCACAACCTGCAACAATAAACAATGCCTACATTATTATAAAAGTAAATATGTTTGATTTATCCCCCAGAAGAATGCTTGGTGTGATTTTTTAATCATTTTTCAGTAGCAGAAGTAAAAAGGTGAGGAGAATGTGCCTGAAAAACATATACCTGGTGTATTTATTCAAACAAGAATTTATTTTTTCCAACATCAGGTTGACCGACAGTTCTGAAAAAGATTCATATTATATTTCCTGGTTGGGATTTGGCGGGGCTATCCCTACCAAACTGTAGAGTTTGAAGGCAGACGTAGCCCTCTGATGTTATTCAACAGGTCTCGTTCAAGGCAATATCCACATGACTGGCATGAGCAGACCTGTACCAAACAGGGCAGGCATATTCTGCAGTAGAATAGCATAATGCGAGCGCCGATGTTCTGAGTACTGCTGGTTGAGCACCCCATCCGTTACTTGTGAGCTTCCTAATAACATTATTGAGGGCAGGTACTTTCTGTTTAGTATTTAAACAGTGCTTCCTAAATGTGAGCGAACGATCTCGAGTAACCCCCAGATATTTTGGATTACGGCAGTGTTCCAGCTCCAAACCATTCCATACAACTTTTAATTTTAAAAACTAACTAAAAATCAATTACCTTTGTTCAAATAACACCATGCAGGGCAATGTCAATATGACAGTAAATAATATTGATGTCAGTAGTTTAAAAAATGATCGATTCGGAAAGTATTCCCTCTGACATTGAAGAAGAGGCATTCAGAGCCATTTCTGGATTGCTTCCAGCAAGATCGAAACAGAAGTATGAATCTCTAAGTATGGAAAATGGTGCACAGAAAAAAAAAGTACACAACTATGGAAATGAAAAGGTACTCATTACATGTTTTTCCAATTTATCCGCTAGTTTTAAGCCTTCGTCTCTTTGGGCTTTCTATACAATGATACGTATTATGATATCTATTAAAATGAATATATTATATACTTCATCAGGCATTTACTTGAAAGATTGTTCAAACTGTATCATTAACATTTATAATAAATAAGCTTTCATGTTTTTATAATTATTATCAATAGAACAGTTTGTTTGTATTTAGTTGCTATTTAGTGCAAAATAAATGTTTTACAAAATATTTTTTCTCTTTGGTAGTCATCTAAGCAAGGAGTGTGGTAATGAAAATGCGTAAGTTAAGAGCTTCTTAACCCACTGACGTACCTACATAAAAAATTTTAATCGCTCAAAACCCACTTTTTTATTTCACTAATAAAATGATTTTTTAATTCTTTACTTTTTTATTATACATAAATTTTTCCTATACCTAAAATAAATCGTTTTAGGTTATTAGAGATTTAGTTTTAAACGTCACGCGATGTAAAACTCTATCTCGCCATGTCATATTACCATCAGATATGACTAAAATATGAGATATGATTATAAAAACACTTTGTAAAATTTTGAGAGCAGTATTTTAACAGTAACTTTTTTGACAGAAGGAAATAAATTGTCTTAATGGTTTGACACTTAATGTCAAAGGAAGCTCGATATAATCAAGAAAAAAATACGCTTTAAAACTAAATCTGAAATAACTATAAGGAACGCAAGTAGTATTTTTTGTATCAGTTTAATATGAAAAATGGCATTATCACTTGCTAATAAAAAGGCATAATAGATCCCCACGGGATAGCTCCATGATGCCAAATGACATTCTTTGTTAATGCTTCCACTACCTGCTTCAATTCCGCAGGTTCACAAAGCAATAAGATCTGCCGCGATATAAGCCAGCGACCGAAAAGCGGAAAGCCAATGCACTATGAACGTACCTTTGGCTAAAGGTTGTAGTTGCTCACCCGGCTGGGTAAGCTAGTATTATTATAATAAATAAGAAATTACCAAATATCCTACAGCTGGCACCAAGATCCTTCCATCAATATTATGACCAATCCAACTCTTGTACGTATCTAATTCACTATTTACTATAATTTGTTTTCCATATTTACCGAGGGGATCAAACAGTGGTACCAACCTAATACAGAAAAATTAATTAATGTTAATTATATAGGGTGGTCCGAACTGTATTCCGGAAACTTCGGTAGCATATTCTGCAGATAAAAATAAGTAAAAAACTTCGTATAAATCTATGTACTAAAATGCTTAGTTTCGGAGATACAGGGTGTGAAATTTCATATTTATTTCGATTTTTTTCAAATAATTTCTAAAGTAGCGTCAATATTTGGATGAAAATTGGTGTCTAGGAGTTTTTTGACACTAGAAATTTGATTTTGATGTCAATATAGTTCCTATTTTTAGGCGGCGCCACCTACATGTGTTTTAACTGTTTTGAAGAGTAATAACTTTTCGTACGTACCTGTATTAAACTACTGAGTGAAAAAATATACATTTCCGTGAGTTTTTACATTATGTCTCTTGGTAAAAATCTCTACGAGCAACCGTTAATAAAGATATTTAGAATGGAAATAGTCAATACATGTCATTATTGACAAAAAATAAACATGTTGAGTAAATAGTTATTTGACTGAAATTATTAATTTGGGAACCTTTTATTTTTTTAAGTTAATTATATTTTTTTTTCAAAAAAAATGAAAAAACAGTTTCTGTTGAACTGTTGGTACAAAAACATTTCAAATTTCTGATTTCAGTATAATAACTATTTAAAACATGTTTAATTTATGTTCATGATGAGAGGTAATTCACTATTTACTATAATAATGTGTTTTCCATATTTACCGAGGGGATCAAACAGTGGTACCAACTTAATACAGAAAAATTAGTTAATGTTAATTATACAGGGTGGTCCTCGGGGTGGTCCGAACTGTATTCCGGAAACTTCGGTAGCATATTCTGCAGATAAAAATAAGTAAAAAACTTCGTATAAATATATGTCCTAAAATGCTTAGTTTCGGAGATACAGGGTGTGAAATTTCATATTTATTTCGATTTTTTTCAAATAATTTCTAAAGTAGCGTCAATATTTGGATGAAAATTGGTGTCTGGGAGTTTTTTGACACTAGAAATTTGATTTTGATGTCAATATGGCTCCTATTTGTAGGCGGCGCCACCTACATGTGTTTTAACTGTTTTGAAGAGTAATAACTTTTCGTCCGTACCTGTATAAAACTACTGAATGAAAAAATATACATTTCCTTGAGTTTTTACATAAAAAATGTCTCTTGGTAAAAACCTCTACGAGCAACCGTTAATAAAGATATTTAGAATGGAAATAGTCAATACATGTCATTATTGACAAAAAATAAACATGTTGAGTAAATAGTTATTTGACTGAAATTATTAATTTGGGAACTTTTTATTTTTTTAAGTTAATTATAATTTTTTTCGAAAAAAAAATGATGAAAAAACAGTTTCTGTTAAACTGTTGGCACAAAAACATTTCAAATTTCTGATTTCAGTATAATAACTATTTAAAACATGTTTAATTTATGTTCATGATGAGAGGTACTGATAATTTCGATTCCAAATATCTCGAGAACCATTACTCGTAACAATTTTTACCAAGAGACCTTTTTTACGTAAAAAAAAACGTCGTGAATGTACATTTTTTTAATAAGTAGTTTTATACAGGTACGGACACAAAGTTATTACTCTTCAAACCAGTTAAAAATATATGTAGATGGCGCCCTCTAAAAGTAGGAGTCATATTGACATCAAAATCAAATTTCTTATGTCAAAAAACTTCCAAACACCAATTTTTATGTAAATATTGATGTTACTTCAGAAATTATTTAGAAAAATCGAAATAAAAATGAAACTTTTACACCCTGTATCTCCGAAACTAAGTATTTTAGGACATACATTTATACGAACTTTTTTATTTATTTTTAACTGCAGAATATGCTGCCGAAGTTTCCAGAATACAGTTTGGACCACCCTGTATATTTTATTTAATGTTTTGTACCACCAGTATCATCAAAATTTTAAAACCTTACCATTTTTCTCTGTAATCCCATTTTATTAAAGATCCAATATTTGCTGTTCCTCTTCCTACAGGAAATGAAACCTCGTTATAAAACTGTCTTAAATCAGGCTGTCCTCCATTAATAAACAATCTGATAAAACAACAATACTATTACTTCACAATATTACAAAAACAATAGACTTACTTCCCAATGTTTGACAATAAATGTTGAACATTATCTTGACTATTTCTGTTCGCTAAACTCAGGTAAGTAATGTCAGGTCCTAATTCTCTTCTTAAAATTGGAGTGAGCAACGCGTGAGGTGACACTTCAATCAAAATGGCGTCTTTAGGAATTTGTTTCAATACCTGGTCAAAGAATACAGTGTTTCCGTAATTGTGAGCATGATAATCACCCGAGTTTAGTTTGGATAAAGGATTCTCAGAATCATCTTCATCCCATGAGCTTGAAATCCATTTTGGGGATCTTGGTTTGGGATTTGGTATAAGTTTATCAACAAAATCCTTTAAAATCGGCACTGCCTCGCTAACATATTTGGAATGGAAAGCATAGTTGGCGGTTGGTACTAAACGAGCAAAAATACCGCGATTTGTAAGGTCTTCGACAAACTCTTTAACTTTTGTTTTTTCTCCAGAGACTGTTACGTTTTTAAATCCATTGACACAGGCTATGTACACTCCTTCTGGTAAAAGAGACAAACATTCATCTTTTCCTAAACCCACAGCTGCCATTTGCCCATTTTGCTTACACTTTGCCTGGAGGGTGGTGTAACCTCTGGCAAAACCTATCAAAGTAGCTTGTTCGGCTGTTATGCCACCATTATAATACGCACATCCTGAAAATATTTATATAGGGTGTTTCAAATTCGACTCTCGCCATTGAGATCTAGAAAACAGTGAGAGATACAGGATGATTTAGTGGGCCCAGTGATAACCCGTTTAGTAATTGAACTTTTTTTTGTCGAAACGTTTGTCGAATATAAGTACGTTTTTCATTTCCGAAAATATGGCGGAGAAACTGAAATTTTCGGTTCTAATTTTTCTTTTTTCGCGAATTTACATCTACACAGATGCTTCCGTGATTTTAGGAGGCGCAGGTATAAACATCTTCAGAGAAGAACTAGACATCCGACGATCTTTAAGGCTATCGAATGGCTGTAATGTTCTACAAGCAGAGGTTTGCGCCAGTTAGGCTGCGGACAGTTAGATACAAGGGAAACCGCTGATAGACCAATAGGAGATATCATGATACACTCTGACAGCTTGGGCGCTTTAACAGGCATCACCATGCAATCAGTGAGATCGAATACTGCCGATAAGAACTGTTTTGGCTGCGTTGCACTTTGTGCTGGGTGCCAGGCAATGTGGTGGGCAACCAGGAAGTGGAAAGACTCGCCAAGGAGGAGGCCAGGGGAGATGCCATGCCACACTCCGGTACTGGAAAACCGACGCCTTAAAACTTTAGGGCGCGTTTTTTTCGAGGGACTAGAGGAAGCAGCAGGAAGCCAACATCAGCGACATCGGGAACATTGCAAATTGCTGAAAGTGCTTTAACGCAAAGGAAGTATGAGAGGAAGGCTGGTATATAATAATACGAGGGTATCGTAAATCGTAATGGGCCCAAGTTCTCCGAGTGAGAGATCAAACAGGATCCTAAACCGCAGCAACCTAACCTAAGGAGTTTGAAATGAATAACCGCAAATGAGAAAGTTCAGTTACTAAACGGATTGTCATTGGGCTCGCTAACAGGCAAGAGTGCCACAATATAAGCCACTCTGCTTCCCTTGCCATTTCTGAGACTCCGCTGATCTCCCAACTGAATTTTAGTTCTACAATGGGAAAGAAAATTAGTACATAACCTTAAAGCTTTATTTTTACATCTAAGCTCATCTAATAGTCATATATTGTTTTACCCGTCTATAATAAATAATACAACAATATTATCCCACAACTATTATTAATCTAACCTGTTTCACCCAAAGAATGTCCAGCAAAATAATCTGCCTCAATTCCGAACGATTTCAATACATCCGTCAAAGCAATCGAAACAGCTGCTATTGAAGAAAAGCAATTAACTATATCATCCAATACACTTGGATCGTCACTGAGAATAACTTTTTCTAAATCGACATTATAGGGCCTAAGAGCATTAGCACACTTCTTGAAAGTTTTTCTGAAAACATCTAATTTCATTAAATCTTTCCCCATTCCTGACCACTGACTTCCCATCCCACTGTATATAAACCAAATCGGTCGTTTCTTTGTATCATATTTTTGTATTTCCTTTAACGGATTAGTTCCTAACACGGAATATCTAAAAATATTAAATAA